GCAGTTTTGTTTTAAAAGGAATGACATAAAGTTTTTTTCTTTCAATATCAAAAAAATCTACATCAACTTTTATCTTACCAAATACTAATGCGCCAAGACAAAAGTGCTGACATGATTAGAACCAATCTCGTACCCAGAGCCTGCGTTTCTTCTGGACTGCGGCGAAGAACGAGGGCTCTGGCATAATCCATTTTTTGAGCCGACCAGGATTTCTTGGACTTCAGGTATAAGTAGCACACACGTTAAAAGACTTGCCAAAAATAAAAATAAAAATTTTTAAATATAATAAAACTTCCGGAAAATTGCGCATGCGCAAAAATGGGTTATGCCAGACCCCTCTTTCTTCGCCGCAGGCCAGAAGAAACGCAGGCTCTTGGTACGATATTGGATTAGAACATAGCCAGACATGGTCCTGCGCAGTAGGTACACTAGACCTTTAAAGACAAGCTTATGAATAAATACAGAAAATATATAGGTATACTCACAGGTTTTGTAGTTTTTTCTCGATGCTCAAGATCTTAAACTTCTAATATGCATGCATGTCATTTTGAAAGACACGATATGGAATTGTCATATATATAACTGTTGTTTCGTAGAAATAAATACAATTAAGAGCATTGTTTAAGTGTCATTCTTGATTGGTTATTTATGGTGGTAAAATACACCATTAGTAGTTGGCTTACTGTAACCAATTTATGTTGGAATTTATGTTTTCTGTTGGAATTTGATTGTAAATAACTAAAACTAAATTTCTTGCTATTTATATCTATTCATATTGTAATTATTTGGGGGGGGGGGGTATTTGTTGTAAATTGTCCTGTAATAAATTAAAAATTAAAAAAAACAAAAGGTGGTAAAATACACCATTAATAGTTGGTTATTATAACCAATTTATGGTAGTTTCAACAACACCATAATAGGTTATTTCAACCTATTTAGAATTGTACCATGGGTGGTGAATCAATTTAGAACGGTCAAACTTTCTCATTTCAACCATTGTTAAATGGTTAAAAGCAAATGGTCGAAATAACCATTTCTCGAATGGTTAAATTAATGATAATTAATACATCAAACCAACCATGCTATATTGTTTCAACCATTGTTAATTGGTTAAACGCAAATGGTAGAAATAACTATTTCTCGAAGGGTTAAATTAACAATAATTGATGCATCAAACCAAAAATGGATAACTCAAAAAAAAA